CCGTGGTGAAGCGACGCCGTGGGTTGACTCCGTCCAACATCGTTTCCCGTGCTCGCCGACATTTTGTTTTATCCAGACTCCAATAGCAAGTTGATTAATCGCTAGCAGCCCTATTCGTTCCCGTTCGTTGAACTTTTAAGGGCGCCTAAATCGTACATGACGCCGCGGCGCGATCGAGAGGAGGTCCGTGCGGGTGGTCAAAGCGTCAGCGGCACCTAAGCAACAGCAACACCCATCCCAACCAACTGAAAGCAACTCACCAATGCGTTCAAATCCCGTCGTGATGGAGTATGAAGTTCCTGGTATTTCCCCTGCAACCTCCGTTCCTTCGCAAACAGTTGCACGGCGGTTTCTGCGCCGGAAGCGGTGATGAGCGGATGGAAAATTGTTGATTTGGTCACACAAGGCTTCCGCCGTCGTTCCCTGACAAGTCTTGCCCACCACAAACCAGGCACGCTCGCTCGAGCCAACCTCTGCGAGATCATCGAGATCTCTTTCCTGAGATCGACCTGACTAAGACGAGATAGACGGTCGTTGTTTGACAAAATATAACAAGGGAGAACGGTCAAGGTCTTTGGCGCGCAGGCTAAAAGTTTCCCCCTGCCAGGGTCGAACTGGCGACCACTGCATTTCATCTGAAGCGCAGGAAAGCTTCCCATAAGTACAATACTCTACCACTGAGTTAAGGGGGATGTCATTGAGGCCCGCCCTTATTTTAACTCTAGTTCCGCAATTTTTCCGCCAAGCCATTGGGTATTTACTACGGCATTTTTACCCGTGGACAGCTCCGGCTCGCCCACCGGAAACGTGAAAAATACGCTGTGCACGATATTAATTAGCTTCGGTAGTACAAAAAAAATACATGAACCGTCGCGCCATGGTGCGATCGAAAGTTGGTTCTTAAAATGCATTTAGAGCGCCGACTGCCTCGTTCCAGTACTGGCCTCGCTATCTGCTGCTAGGCGACCGAGACACGCTTTTCGAGAGCACCAGGCAGTTTCCAACCCGCTTTCCGGAGCGTTTGAGGTGTATGTGGGACTCGAGATCTCCAGGAGAAAGTTCCCTGGTGTTCCAAACGGCCCCTGCAGGACTGGTCAAGTGCGTTGACGGGGGCGATTGTTGTACGAGATAAGCGATAAACTCGTGTCATGAACGGGGACATGCATGGTCCTCGTGTTGTGCGTTGTGCATTCGTCGGGGAGGGCGGCAGAACCGACAAGGACACAAATTGGACCCTGAGGGGAGCCTCGTGGTTCATTGTGGGTTGTTTGGGCACGTTCCCACGATTTGAACATTGAACAACGGTTCAGAGGTGTTCCTTGTCTCCCAACACTCCATAAAAAGGTGAGTTTTGCTTCCCCTCCCTCTCCCAACTTCCCTTCCATCCACATCCTCTTCCTCCTCCCCCTCCTCCCACCAGCCAAGCTGTTCTCCCTGTATACTTACTAGTCGCCCACGATTTCACAATATCTGAAAACCGAAGCGTATCCTTCCCGCAGGCCATCCGCCGGACCTCTTATTAACGACGACACTTCCTCTTCCTCTACGACCACCCCTTCCGCAGTCCGAACTCCCCGAATGGTGCGTCATACGTCTCTTACAATTCTCATCTCGAGCATTGCAATCTCGTCGATCGGAAGCTAATTCTCATTCCTTGGTTCGTTTTGAAATTTGCCTCTAGGCCCACCCATCCAGCTCTCACCGCGACCGCGATCGTGATGATGACCGCGGCACGACCCGTGAACGACGAACCAGCTCCTCTTCCACTCGCCATCGCACCATCTCCTCCACTACCCTTCTTCTCGTCCTTTCCCTGATCCTCGCCGTCTTGGCAGTCATGCTTTCCCTTCCCTCTCGCAGTGGAGGTGGCGTTATCCCCACTCCGAACCGGAACAACAACAACGTTCCGGAGATCAACACCAACGACCAGGATGCTGGTGTCAGCCACTCCTTCTGGGGCTACCTCACTCCCAAGCGGAGCCACGACCTTGTTGCCCGCGAGACCGAAGTCGCTCTCCGTGAAGCCGAAGTCGCCAGGCGCGAGGCCGAGCTTCTCGCCGGACGTCCCGGCGGCTGGGGAATCGGCTGCCCTATTTGCGGCGAGTCTATTGTTGAGGAAGTCATCGAGGCAGCCCCTGCCATCTCTGTCGTCCAGCGTGCCACCCCTCCCGCTCCTCCCGCTGCCACTCACACCGTCATCAAGGAGATTGAGGTCATCAAGGAGGTCGAGCCCTCCAACCCCGCCTGGTTGCAAGACCGCATTGAGAGCATCCTTCAGCGTGAGTTGAAGATGTCTGATCGCGAGAAGGAGGTCGGCCAGCGCGAAGAATCCGTTGGCAAGCGTGAATCCGATGCCACCAAGCGTGAAAGCTGGATCATCGACCAACTCCAGTAAGTTTTTGGATCCGTTTACTTGAATACGTCACATGTCTGACGCGTTTTTGCCAGGAAATTCCACGCTGAGCCCATCGAAGAAGTTGTCTATGAACATGAGCAACCACCTCGCCACTACTACGGAGAGACAAGGAGAGCAGTACCCCCTCCCAAGGTGAATAACCCGACTCCTCCTCGCGCCCATTAAATGAGGGAGGGGACACACGGCAATCTTGAACGGATCTCATCGGCACTGGACAACGAACATTCGGACAACACATACACCCCCTCTACGATTCTGGTTACGACTTTCAAGGACTCACCCTTCTCTGTATATCCTCCAACCAACCTGCCTATACATTCGTCCATCAATGTTCGTGCCGTCTCCCCTCCCTCCCTGAGCTCCTCAGGTTCTTCTTTCCGCTTTCTTCAAATCAGATCACGCTGACCGGTGCACTTGTTCTCCCCTTCAGTTCCAGGAAGTTCCTGTTCCTCCTGCTACCCAGTCCCCGGCTCCGGCTCCTACCCGTGTTGCGGCTCGACCGACCCCAGAGACCTATGTCGGCACCCCAACTGCCGCTGGCTCTGGCAAGACCACCGAGATCTATGTCGAAATTCCTACTCCCGTCTACATGGAACCCGACACCGTGACTGTCTATGAGACCCGGTCACCGAAGCGAGGCCAATGGTGGTAATCCTCCACCAACCCCAAAAATTCACGACCCTCGGTATGACTTATGGCCCTTAGTCGCCACCCATTGGCCGACTTCGCTTTCTTGACTTCTTGCGACGAAATGTATGGACACTTGGCTTGGATGGCTCTTTACTTTACTATTCCAGAGGGGATTGGATATCCTTTCTTTTTCTATTCCCTTCACGTCCTTTTCCCCCACCTCTTCCGATTGATTATTATCTTTGTTTTTTTTCTTCTTCAGTCCCTCCACCCGTCATCGGTTCGGCAAGCGTTGTGTAGGATCCAAATTGGCCGAAAAGAAATCCCATCTCCGTTGTAGCACTCAGTAGTTAGTCTTTTTTGCGTAGTTAGTTTAGTTAGCATCTCCTGGCTTCGCGAATAAATACATCTGTGCTCGGACTTCCACTGAAAACTTTGCCGTGTGTCTGCGTGTTCAATGAAGCCGAAGTTCGTCAGCGAGTCGGGGCCCGTCATTGTCCCTCGGGATTATGTAAGCGAGTCGAATGTCAACGCGTCCAGTCTCGCCGAAAACATTCACAACCAAATCCTCCTGGACCAAGACCACCGCAACCAATGCAGGCCGTAGCGTGGCCCGGAGCTGCTCTGGTAGGCCCACGTTGCTCTGTTCTTTCGGCCTGGGCTAAACCTTTTCATCTCCAGGCTGTGGCAAGTTCGAGTCCCATTTCATCCGCCCAGTCCGTATTCGCATTGCTCAATCCGTTCAAGAAGC